TGGAACTGCTCTAGGGTCCTCAGGAAAATAAATGTGTAGACTAACAGATATATATTTTTAAAAGTCCTTGGGAACATTTTCTGGTTTTTTTCTTATCCCTTTTGGAAGAACCACTTCGAATAGGCACATACCTGTCCTGCTAATTTCAATCTTTAAATGTCCCTCTTTAGAGTATGTTTCCCTCTTTTACAAAACATCCCCACTACCGTACCAGAACATCCTAAAAGGGCTTCTCACCTGGACCAGCTGCTCCTTCAGTTTGTAGATGGGCAGGCTCTCCCTCTGCTCAAGGATTGACATCTGGGTCTTTTTTCCATAAGAAGCTTTGTTACCCCCAAAAGCATGCTTCTTCCACTCAGGAATGTCATTAGGCATCATCCCAATACCCCTCATGTTGGCAGCAATCTGCCTGCCTTCCGCTAGAAAGGAAATCAGGCAGCTTAGTATTGTCTTCAAGCTACCTCATGATGGACCAGGGGAAAAAACTAAATGGCGGGTGGGCACCACACATGCAGTATTTCAGTTCAATCTGATCCTTGACAAATTAATGTGAAGAAAAGAACACAGAAGGGGCAGCAGAGGGCAGAAGAGGGAAAGAGACCATAATAAGTGGTGCTATATACCTGGGCTGTCTCCTGATAGAGAAAAGGTTAGTTGCGAGAAGTGAAGACCTGATTGTTTGACCCTGGGATTCTTTTATTTTTTTCAATAGCCGTTATACTGAAATGTAATTCACATACCATGTGCCCCTTTTCAAGTGTCCAACTCAGTGGTTTCCTGTATATTCACAAAGTTGTGCAATTATCACTGCTATCTAATTTTAGAACATCTTCATCATCCCCAAAAGAAACCCTGTGCACATTAGCAGTCACTCCCCATTCTTCCCTTTCCCCTTCTCCTGGCAACCGCTAACCTACTTTCTATCTCTGGGTTTACCTATTTTGGATATTTCATATGACATGTCGTCTTTTGTGTCTGGTTTCTTTCACTTAGCTTAAAGTTTTCAAGGTTAACCCTGGAATTGTGGCTTGAGTGAAGAACAAAAAAATGAACAGAAATTTAGTGGCTCTCTAGGATATACAAATATTTTATGCATTTGATGGCAAAGGCCAGCTACAAAAATATGCTTAAGTAACCAAATAAATCAGTTTTGGTAGAGGCCAAGGAGGGTCATGGAGAAACTTTCACTAAAAGGAGGGAAGGAAGTGCGGCTTATTCTGAAGAAATGGAGAATTATACTTTTAAACAATGAATGAATATCTCCAACCTTCTGTTAACCTAATATTCTGAGTTTTTATTACATGCAGCCAAACTGATACCCAAACTAACACAATTCCCAAAACTCTGTCTCCAGCCCAGAACTGTCTTCTGAGCACTTACATTCAACTACATACTTGATACCTCAACCAAAATGTCCTCCAGTTACAAGTCCAGAACTAAATTCACCATCTTTCCCCACAAACCCATTTCTCCTCCGGTGTTCCCATTACTCACCCTGGCACTCACACCAGAAACCAGGAAGTCGTCTTTGACCACTCCCACTCCCCCTGTCCAATACGTTCAACAAATCACATTTCTCAAGTACATCCCTTCTCTTTGCTACCTCCACGTTCATACTACCATACTCTCTCTGAACAATATAAAAGCCTCCTAAATTCATCTCACAGGTCCACTCTTGCACCATCCAACCCATTCTGCAAGGCACCCTGAATTATCCTTTGGAAATGCGACTCTGACCACGCCATTCCCCAGCTTAGAACTTTTCAACGTTTCCTAGTACACTCAGAATTGAGGCCAGATTCTGAATGCTGTCTACAAAGGCCTGGCCTGCCACTCCTGCCTCATCCCCCACACTCTGCCTATCGCTCTCTGTACTCCAGCCACACAAGCCTCCTTCCAGGTCCTCTTTCCCACCCCATGGCCCCAGCACAAACTACTCCTGAGCCTGAAACACACTTCTCAACCCCATCCCATCCCCTCTTGACAGACTTGAGTCCCATTTGTCCTTAGGGTCTCAATTTCTCTACCATAGTCAATTACACTACCTGTACACTACCTGTAAAATTTTTAAAAAAGAATTTATTTTAAGAGATGGAGTGTCTTGCTTTGTTGCCCATGCTGGAGTGCAGTAGCATGATCATAGCTCACTGAAGCCTTGAACTCCTGGGCTCAAGGGATCCTCCCGTCTCAGCCTCCCAAGTAGCTGGGACTACAGGCATGAGCCACTGTGCCCTAAAATAAAATCTTCTAAGTAATTCAGAATAGAAATGTCCAGATAATTTCTTTCTATTTTTAGTAGAGACAGGGTCTCGCTCTTGCCCAGGCTGGTCTCAAACTCCTGGCCTCAAGCAATCCTTCCATCTCAGCCTCCCAAAGTGCTGGGATTACAGGCATGAGCCACCATGCCCAGCCTTATATCCTGAAAATTTATTATAAGCAACAAGTATAATAATATATAAATGCTTGTCAGAAAAATTAACTTCTTCCTTTCATCACGGAGAGGCCCTTGTTCTTTGAGAGATGACTGGTAAGACCCAAGGAATAAATGATTAAGAGCCACTGGGCTAAACTACAAACAAAGCACCCAGTCCAGTGGCTCAACTGCCAATTATCCTTCCGATCCATTATCCTGCTCAATCCAAGTGGCTAGTTACCTTCTTCATCATCCACCTTAGGGAGAATGCCAGTCTCTTCATCAAAGTCTGGAAATTCTTCTTTGGAAAGGACATTGGCAGCAATCATCTAGCCAAAGAACAGAAGGCAGCATTTGTAACCCGCTAGGATCAAAACTCTTCTTTTCTAAGAGAGTTAATTACAGAGGTTTTATGAAGGAAACCAAAGTTGTTTTCTCTTCTGACCCAGAATGCCAGGACCTCAAATGTCATACATATATCCCGTCCCTAAAGGGCTCTACAACACGGTGCTGAAAAGCACAGGCTCAAAGATGTCATCCTTGGAACAATTACCTGCTCCTTCCCTTGCTTCCAAAATGCACTTTGGTACATTTCTTATATAATATGTAACCCTTCACAATTATTTATTTAGCTCTCCTCCACTAGACTTTGAGTTCCTCCAGAGTATGATATACTCGTCTCTGTAGCCCTAGCATCTACATGGTGCTTGACACACTGTGGTTCTGATGTTTACGGAAGAATGATGAAAGCAATAACGAACACTTACATAGCAATTACTATATGCCAGGCACTAACCTAAGATTTTCATCTCTGTCACCTCGTTTAATCCCCACACACCACCCCATTGGCCCTGTTTTACAGAGGAGGACACTGAGGCACAAAGAAGTAGAGTAACTTGACTAAGGATTACAAAGCTAGTAAGTGGCCAGAAGTCAAACCAGGCCATCATGCTCCAGGGCCCATGCTCCTAACTACCATGTCACATGCTAAATGACCACATGGCCATGAAGGCTAATGGCCCCAACCTGTTTGATCTCCCACTTCTCTGGATCAGAGATTCGGGTGAGGCGCTTGCGCTCCAGTGAGTCATCCTCTACTTCAGGGGCACTGACAAGGGAGAGGTGAGTGGGTCTGTCTGGATTCCGCATTGAGGTCTCCTCATTGGTCTCCCCAACAAGATTTCGTCGTCGATTTGGGTTTAAATCTTCTCCAGTCTCTTGGTCCACATCCTAGGGCACAAAACAAGGAAGCTAGCTCACTTGCTGCCCTCTTACATTCCCTTGGTCATCAGATGTGGGAATAGGCTAAAACATCGCCTACCTTCATGCTCAGGCTAGTCTTGGTCCCAGTGAAGGACAGCACTTTGACTTTGACCCTCTGGCCTTTGCTCACCACATCAGCCACATTGGCCACTCGGCCTTCCCGCCGGAGCTCAGAGATGTGCACAAGGCCTTCCCACCGCTTCCTGAGAGAGAGTCAGACACATCTGAAACATGCCTAACAATACCTTTTCCCCAGCCAATTTCTGCCCTTGTTGAAACAGAACAAACGAAAATGATCTTAAACACCAGAGGAAAATACCGACAAGGTGGTCAAACAATAAAACAGTATTACCACCCTCCCAGAGAAAAGACACTGAAGGGGGACAAATCCTGTCTGTCACAATCAGCAAAGGGCAGATCTGCTGAAGGCAGAGGAAAGAATAAATGGCTCTGAAAAGTCAACTTCTAAGAGCTATGTATGGCTGATTTGATTAAAGTGTCATTAATTATAATAACTTTTTAGAATGTAAAAA